GCAACCTGGCTGTTGGGAAGAATTATAATTTTGTTGGGAGTGGTGTTGATGCGTGGAGAATTAATGATCTGAAGAGCTCTTTTCTTGCAGTCTTTGAGATGAAAAAAGAAGGAAAATGTAACTCAGTGAATGTTTGGTGAATGTATGTACATTCCTCATCAAGAAACTCAGGACTACAAATTCGGTATGCTCTTAGAAAAAACCCGATGATGATGCCTCTTTTGGTCTTGGTATCTTGACTGGAATAGAAGTGTGTGAGATCATTTTTATTGGTGGGTTTCCAATAAACTTGAAATCTTAGGTTGTTGTCTACTTTGTGAATGAGGACGTCGAGGAAAGGTAGCTTGTCATTGGACTCTTCTTCTCATGTAAACTGGATCGCCGGTTCAAAGTTATTATGAGGACGTCGTCCACGTAACGTAACCAAGTGACGCTTGAAGGAATGATGTTGGCAAAGTGTTCGGACTCTAGGTGTTCCATGTATAAGTTGGCTAGGACGGCACTGATGGGGGACCCTATTCCCATGCCGTAGGTTTGTTTGTAGAGCTTGTTATTGAAAGAAAAACAGTTGAAATTAACACAGAGTTCAATCAAGTCAACAAAATCTCCGGGAGGTAGAGGAAGATTAAGGTCCTGATTGACTTTACGTCGTAGAACCTCGATGGCTTTTTTGGTAGGTACTTTTGTGAAGAGGGAAGTCACATCCAAACTGCTTAGTTTCTTGTTACAGATGGAGAGGTTTCGGATGCGGTTGAGAAGGTCGCCTGAGTGTTAAGATGAGCGAGGGTGATGGTCCCCAGAAGGCAGGAAAGATGTTTGGCAAGAACTTCGGCTAGTTTGTGTGGAGCACTGCCTATTGCTGACGTGATTGGTCTGAGAGGAATATTGTGTTTATGGGTCTTGGGTAAACCATACATGTGTGCTGGTTTAGCACACATGTTATGGTTTACACTAGAAGAAGAGTCCAATGACAAGCTACCTTTCCTCGACGTCCTCATTCACAAAGTAGACAACAACCTAAGATTTCAAGTTTATCGGAAACCTACCAATAAAAATGATCTCACACACTTTTATTCCAGTCAAGATACCAAGACCAAAAGAGGCATCATCATCGGGTTTTTCCTAAGAGCATACCGAATTTGTAGTCCTGAGTTTCTTGACGAGGAATGTACATACATTCACCAAACATTCACTGAGTTACATTTTCCTTCTTTTTTCATCAAAGACTGCAAGAAAAGAGCTCTTCAGATCATTAATTCTCCACGCATCAACACCACTCCCAATAAAGTTATAATTCTTCCCAACAGCCAGGTTGCACTGAACGTCTCAAAAGTACACTTTTACAAGCTAACACCAGAGTCGCCATCGCTTCTAGCACTTCAATAAAGGATCTAACCAGGACAAAATCCAAGCACCACGAACCAGTGGGACATAAAAATCTTTTTCCATCTTCTGGACATTTCCATGCTCAGTGCTTATAATATGTATAATTGATCAAAGCGACAGAAATCTTCTTTTCCACTTCCATCAAAGTCAGAACTATCAGTCACAGCAATTTGCCTCGGAGTGAGAGCTGCCTTGCGGCGAGGCATGGTGAACAATGGTTACTGAGGCTGCATTCCCACAGTGCCATGTGGGTGCCTATAATTTTTGTTTATGGTGCATATGCACCATGTAGACCTGTTGTCTCAGATGTAGGCCTACCAGCCTCTTTGTGCTAAATTTGATGCCACTAGAATTTTGGCATAGATCTACGGTTTGGACCCTCAACTTTTATAGGCTAGATCTATGGCACGGCCCCTGAAAAAGTTATTAATTTCTTAGTATGTACATATTATATTAATTATTATTATTAATACATACGCATTATTATTATGTTTATTATTATTATTATTATTATTAATTTAGGGAACTGGAGCACAGATCCAGTTCCCTAGATCAAGAGCTCATCACCACATACATATTAATAATAATAATAATAATAATAATAATAATAATAATAATAATCATAATAATAAAAATAATAACAATAATAACAGTAAGGAGAAACTTCAAAAGGCTGCCAGTAATTGGTGCCACCATCAGCAAAACATTGGTAACCACTACTAGTACACTTTTCACCTGTCTAGACATAAGTAGTCTATTATTATTATTAGGTTAAGTCTCCCCAAAAATGCCTTGGCATGATAGTGGCTTTCTTTGCTCCATTCATATTATATGAAAACACACATTGTAACCTTAGCAAAGAAATAAATATTTTATTTATATATTTAAGGAACCTCCCTTGAGGGGGAAGTTCGCATCCTGAAATTTCGTTCGTATCCAGAAGCAAAATATTGACCAAAGGACGGTTCATATCCAGAAAAATTCGTATGGTGGGGCGTTCGTAAGCCGAGGTTACACTATGTACCCTTTTTTTCTCATTTTTGTATTATTTCATATAGTTTTATGTTCTGATTTCATAACCAATCTTTGTTCGGATACTAATATCGGGTAGTGAAATTTACTCAAATTGTCACAAACACACTGACAGGTAGACATTTACACCTGCCTTGGCCATTTACTATTGTCTAGGTCCCAGCAATGTTTTGGATACACAGGAGCATAGAAGAAAAGGGAAGAAGAGAAGAAGAAGAAGAAGAAGAAGAAAAAGAAGAAGAAAGCAGCAGCAGCAGCAGCAGCAGCGCAGCAGCAGCAGCAGCAGCAGCAGCAGCAGCCAGCGCCGCCCCCGCCGCCGCGCCCGCCGCCGCCGCCGCGCCGCCGCCCCCGCCGCGCCGCCGCCCCCGCCGCGCAGCGCCGCGCGCCGCGCCGCCGCCCGCGCCGCAGCCGCCGCAGCCGCGCCGCCGCCCCGCTGCCGCTGCCGCCGCCACTGCCCGCCGCCCCCTCCTGAAGTATGATGTAAATAAGTGTCGGTGAAAGCTTGCAGGGTGCAGTGATAATATAATAATAATAATAATATCTTTATTTATACAAGTACATGTACATGGAAATTACAGGCCTAGCTGACAACAATGACATACTACTATATAGAAAAGCCCTTGTTATGCTCTGCATTTTGGGCAAATTAGGTCTGTGTCCCAGGATGTGACCCACACCAGTCGACTAACACCCAGGTACCCATTTTACTGATGGGGAACATAGACAACAGGTGGAAAGAAACACGCCCAATGTTTCTACTCTGGCTGGGAACAGAACCCAGGCCCTCGCTGTGCGAAGCCAGAGCGTTAGCCACCAGGCCACCAGAGCCCCAGAGTGGTGACATTTGATGAGCCCATGGGAGGGTGCAATGATAAGATGAGATAAGGGGTGATATTTGATGAGTGTTGGCATCTGTCTCTGATTATCTCTCTGTCTCAGAGAGAGCCACTGTGAACCAACAGGTATTCTTACGCATTATATTTACAAGCACAGTATAGCACTTTGGATTTTTTGGGATATGCTAGGTAATTTACACTATGTATAATTGTATTATGTGTACCTGTGAGATAGAAATAGAGACAGATAGACAGACCTATTCATTGTGTTTGGTGCTTGTTTATTAACTCTGTCACAATCCCCTTTCTGAAACTGTCATTCTATGTCACAAAATATTCGAAAAAAAAAAATTTCTTATGAAAATGTTAAGATTATTTTTCTGATTGTTTTAGTCCAAAAAAAATTTTTTTGCAATCAGTACTTACCAAGATATAGAGGCGTGAAGTTTGCAGAAAATGAGCCGCATATGGCAACAGCGGCGACTGCCTCTCACCCGGTAAACTTTGGTTTACTTGTATTTGAAGAATCTGTATTGATAAGCCACTGGATGGCAAAACATCTTCAGTAAAGATAACCAGATGTTGCACAATTGTCTTAACTTTCATGAGTGAAAAGGGCCCTATTCATTGTTTTTGGTGCTCGTTTATTAAGTGCAACTGTGAAATAAGCTACCATGGTGGTGATGGTGGTGGTGGATGTTATTGGTGGATGGTGGCAGTGGTGGATGGTGCTGGTGGATGGTTGTAGTGATGTGGTGGTGGGGGTTGTGGATGGTACTGGTGGATGGCAGTGGTGGATGTTATTGGTGGTGGTGGTGGTGGATGGTTTTGGTGGATGTGTGGTGGTATTGGTGGTGGATGGTATTGATGGATGGTGGTGGTGGTGGATGGTAGGTGGATGGTATTGGTTAGTGGTGGTGGATGGTATTGGTGGATGACAGTGGTGGATGGTGGTGGGTAGTGATGGATGGTGGTGGTAGATGGTGGTGGATAGTGGTGGTGGATGGTAGATGGTGCCTTCTTCAGAGATCAAGGAGATTTGTGCAATGTGGAATAGGGTTGCAGGCATTTGCTAAAAAATATCCCCCTGAGCAAGCTAAAACAAGCCATCTCTGCAAAAAGTTCAGTGACAGAACCCTGTCCATTTTAGGGAAATCTTAGAGGCCCCAGAGACAGAGGATATGGACAGTTATTTTGTGAGGACAAGGGTTCCAGTGACTCTCAAGCTGGTCCTAGTGGCATTAAAAGAAAAGAAGAGAACTAACCCCAGATAAGGACTTGTTACCTAAAGTCTTTATGGAAGGGGATTCCCCTTCCAAACAATAAGTGCTCCCTCACTCCTCACTATCTAACAAATTCCATCAACAATCTTCAGTAAAGGTAAGTAAAATGTTTTTTATATGTTTATTTAAATGTTTATTTATCTATTAAAATTGTACTTTTGAAAATTTTATTGTGTGTTTTTTTAAAAACTAAATTAATCTCTATAAAATGTATTTTTTTCTGAATATTTTTGAGTTTCTGGAATTAATAGTGTTTACATAATTTCTTATGGGAAATATTGCTAAGAATTTCAAATGTTTCGACTTTAGAACTAGTCCTGGAATGGATTAAAGTTTAAAAACTCAGGGTTACACTGTTATTAGTATGAGCAGCTCTCAGCTATTTTGTGTATACCTTTATCTATTTAAAAGTGACACAAAGCCCCAGAACTCACCACGAGGAGGTGGTGCTAATAGAGTTCCATTTTTTTTTTTTTTTTTTTTTTTTTTTTTTTTTTTTTTTTTTTTTTTTTTTTTTTTTTTTTTTTTTTTTTTTTTTTTTTATACGAATGAGTATAAACCTTGTTGATACATGGAGATGTTGGTTGGGTGTCTGAGTATGGTTATCATACTGGGCATAACATCAATCTCTTCATATCCTTTTGGGACTTTCGTTTTTGTTTTTTTGCCCTTACCTGTTGACTCCTCCTTTTTTATTTTTTTGCCCTTACCTGTTGATCCCCCTTTTTTTTTTTTTTGCCTTACTGTTGACCCCTCCTTTTTATTTTTTTGCCTCCCTGTTGACTCTTCTTTTTTATTTTTTTGCCATTACCTGTTGACTCCTTCTTTTTTATTTTTTTGCCATTACCTGTTGACTCCTTTTTTATTTTTCTAGGTTTACCGTCACGCCCTAAACAAACCATAACCATCATAGAGGTCATCATAGTAGTCGATGACATGGTTGTTGTCGAGGGATTCATGGGGGTTTCAGGGAGGTGGCCCCTTTCAGGGAATTTGTTGTTGCTGGGGACATTGAGGGTCTCACCGAATTTCTTCTTCTTCTTCTTCTTGTTGCAAACATAGTGCCACTCACCAAGTTCATCATTGTTGGTGGCGGGGCACCTCTCTCCCTGTGGTATCTTCTTCTTCTTCTTCTTCTTGGAAGTGCATTCATAGTTGTTGGGGTCATGGTTGTCACAGTAATTCTCAAAGTCAATGTGGGCAACTCTTCTGAACAATGCCATTGTTGATACTAAGATGTGGAGGCTCAGAACAATTATTAGATTTAGCTGGAAATCCACAAATTTCAGATGATCAGTTAATGATAATTTATTGGAAATTCAGATTTAAATGTGATCCAAATAAAATATAGAGAAATTTATAGTGACCTTCGAATTCTGGTACTGCCTATGTGTATACTAGTGGTAATAGTGTGATAATATATATAGTGAATAATGATAGAAGTGATGTATAGTGATGGTAAAGGGATGTGGTTAAATAGTTGAAGGGATTAAATGTAGAACATAATGATAAATGGGGTTTATATAATGAGGGTGATAGTGTGGTATATGGTAAAATGTGGTAATTTTATATAGTTATGTTGTGTATTGTGCTGATTAGGGGATTTTGTTAGTGATACTATTTGTATTTGATGTTAATGTGTAGTGTTATGATTGATGTTGGGGACCCTGTACCTATGAGATAGAAATGAGACAGACAGACAAAGACAGATAGACGACAGGAGAAGACAGAGACAGATATGATTGAGCCCCGACAGAGACATAGTTTCCAGAAGCAGACATGCCAGAGATGTCAGCCAGCCAGCAGCCGTACAAGCCAGTTGGCCAGCAGCAGCCTGCCAAACATTTTTACTTACACATTTCAGGATGATAAGAAATGTAATGCACGATTGCAATCGTTGTCATTCGTTTCTTGAGTATGTTGACGGCAGTGAAGGGACTTGAGCTAGAGTTTGTCACGGCCACGCTAGCTGGAGATTTGTCTGTAAAAACTTGCATTTGTGGTCACAGAGGTGCCTGTGCTAACTTTCCTATGGTTGTAGAAATAAAACCCTAGTTGGAGGAATCTTATTGGCTAGCGGTCTAGTGGCTAACGCGACGGGCTGGAGTTTTGAGACTCTATGACCGCGTGTTCAATCCCGGCCGGGGGTATGGTTTACACGTTTCAGAATTGTTTCTCTTTACTTAGAGCATAGGTTATAAAACATTCTGAAAGGGTGTTGCCCAAATGTTGTACATGGCTTATTATCACTGTTTTTTTATATTTCCGTGACCACTTATGGCTACATTGATGTGAAAGCCACCAAACTTGGGGCTAACATCACTTTCCTCTTTAAAGGGGAGCATTAATATGACATGACATCAGTAAATCCTTGAAGTTTGCAGTGCTGTTTTCTCTAGCTGGCACTCAATGTAACTGGTGCTCCCACAGGATACTAAGTGATTCCAGATTTTTTTAATTGTGTGCTCACTGAGTGTTAAGACCTGCAAGACAGGTATACAATACCGACAAGATGAAAGTTAAGACACTTGTGCAACATCTGGTTATCTTTATTGTAGACGTTTCGCCATCCAGTGGCTTTATCAATACAGATTCCTGGACATTATAAGAAAACAGAAGAAATATGTACAAAAGATGAGGTAATCAGTCCCTCAGCCTTGTAGGTGGTGTTTTCTTATTATGTCCAAGAATCTGTATTGATAAAGCCACTGGATGGCGAAACATCTACAATAAAGATAACCAGGTGTTGCACAAGTGTCTTAACTTTCATGAGTGTTAAGACCTATTCATTGGATCTTAGTCATACCAGTCTCCTAACACCCAGGAACTGACCGACACCATTCTACTAACATGCAGGATGTGACCCACATCAGTCCACTAACACCCAGGATGTGTCTCACACCAGTCCACTAACACCCAGGTTATGACTTAAGAAATCGTAATGACACGATTGCAAATAAACCATACCCCCGGTTGGGATTGAAACCCCCGGTCAAGAGTCTCAAAACTCCAGCCGTTGCGTTAGCCACTAGACCCGCTAGCCACAATTTAAGATTCATCCAAAAGGTATATTCCTATGGTGTAGAAATATCCTAGTTTGGGTGAATCTTATTGTGGCTAGCTGGTCTAGTGGCTAACGCGACGGGCTGGAGTTTTGAGACTCTATGACCACGGGTTCAATCCCGGCCGGGGGTATGGTTTACCCAGGTTATGATCCACACCAGTACACTAAACACCCAGGGACACCACCCCCCAACCCAGTCCATTAATCCGAGCATGCCACCCAACCAGTCCATTAATTCGGATCATGCCATCCATACCAGTCCACTTACACCGAGGATGCCATCGACACATGTCTCTAAACACCTAGTATATGACACACACCAGTCCACTAACATCCAGCATTCCACCTTCACCAGTCCACTAACAACTAGAATGCCACCCACACCAGTTCACTAATCACCCAGGATTTCCACCACACCAATTCACTGACACCAGGATAGGACCCACACCAGTCCACTGACACCTAGGGATTTTAACCCACACAAGTCCACTAATAACCAGGATGTGACCCACACAGCCACTAATTCCCAGGAGCCATGTACACCAGTCCCTTAACTCCTAGAATGCCTCCTCACCAATCCAACAACAACCCGGGTGGAGTCACACCACTCCACTAACACCAGGATGGGCACCCACACCAGTCCCAAAAACACCCAGGATGCAACCCACCCAGTCCACAATACGCAGGATGCACCCCACGAGTCCACTAACATGCAGATGCCATCTACACCAGTCCAAATAACACCCCTATGCCATAACACCAATACACTAACACAGGAGGATGCCACCCACACCAGTCACTAATTCCCAGGATGCCCCTACACTAGTTTCCCTTAAAATCCCAGATGCCCCCCTCACCAATCTTAAAACCCAGGATGTGACCCACACCAGTCCACTAATTCCCAGGATGCCACCTACACTAGTTCTCTAACACCCAGGATGCCACCTACACTAGTCCATTAACTCATAGAATGCCTCCCACACCAATTCTGTAACACCCAGGATGTGACCCACACCAGTCCACTAACACCCAGGATGCCTCCCTCACCAGTCCACTAACACCCAGGATGCAACCCACACCATTCCACTAACACCCAGGATGCCACCCACACCAGTCCACTAACACCCAGGATGCAACCCACACCATTCCACTAACACCCAGGATACCACCCACACCAGTCCACTAACACCCAGGATGTCACCCACACCAGTCTGCTAACACCCAGGAAATAACCCACACCATTCCACTAGCATTCAGGATGTGACCCACACCAGTCCACTGACACCCAGGATGCCACCCACCTCAGTCCACTAACACCCAGGATGCCACCCACCTTAGTCCACTAGTGCCCAGAATGACGCTCACACCAGTCCACCAACAACGATGAAGTGACCCACACCAGTCCCCTAACACCCAGGATACCACCTACACCAATCCAGGAAGTGACCCACACCAATCCAATAACTCCCAGGATGTCACCCACACCAATCTTCTAACACCCTGGAAATAACCCACACCATTCCACTAGCATTCAGGATGTGACCCACACCAGTCCACTGACACCCAGGATGTGACTCTCACCAGTCCACTAACATCCAGGAAGTGACCACACAATCCAAAAAACACCAGGATGTCACCACCAATCTTCAACACCCTGGGAAATAACCCACACCATTCCACTAGCAATTTAGGATGGACCCCACAAGTCCATAACAGCGGATTTTTGACCTACACCAGTCCAACAACCCCCCAGGATGCCACCCAATCAGTCCCCTAACACCGGGATGACACTCACCCTAGTCCAGCAACAACTAGGATATGATTCACACCAGTCCACTAACACCCCAGGATGCCACCCACCTCAGTCCACTAACACCCAGGATGCCACCCACCTCAGTCCACTAACACCCAGGATGCCACCCACCTTAGTCCACTAGTGCCCAGAATGACGCTCACACCAGTCCACCAACAACCATGAAGTGACCCACACCAGTCCCCTAACACCCAGGATACCACCTACACCAGTTCTCTAGAACGCAGTATGCCACCCACATCAGTCCACTAACACCGAGGATGACACTCACACCAACAACCAGGATGTGACCCACTCCAGTCCACTAACACCCAGGATGCCACCCACATCAGTCCACTAACACACAGGATGCCACCCACATCAGTTCACTAACATTATGGATGACACCCACACCAATCTACCAACAACCAGTATATGACCCACACCAGTCAACTAACACCCAAGATGCCATACACATCAGTCATCTAACACCCAGGATGCCACCCACCAGTCCACTAACACTGAGGATGCCACCCACAGCAGCCTACTAATGCCCACAATACCACCCACACCAGTCCACTAACACCCAGGATGCCACCCACATCAGTCCACTAACATGCAGGAGGGGAACCACACCAGTTCAGTAACACCCAGGATGTTACCCACACCAATCCACTAACACCAAAGATGTGAGCCACACCAGTCCATTAATACCCAGGAAGAGACCCATACCTTTCTTCTATCATTCTGGATATGACCCACACCAGTACACTAACATGCAAGATGTGACCCACACCAGTCGACTAATAACCAGGATATGATACACACTAGTCCAATACCACACAGGATGCCACCATCACCAGTCCACTAACCTCCTGGATGCCACCCACACCAACTCAATAATACCCTGGGTATGATGCACACCAGTCTACTAACACCCAGGATGCTACCTGCACCATTCCACTAACACCCAGGATGTGTGCCACACCAGTCCACTAACACCCAGGTTAGGACCCACGCCAGTACACTATCACCCAGGATGCCACCCACACCAGTCCATTAATTCCGAGCATGTCAGCTTCACCAGTCCACTAATGCCTAGAATGCCACCTACACCAGTTCACTAACACCCTAGATGCCACCCACATCAGTTCACTAGCACCCAGGATGCCACCCACAAGTCCACTGACACCCAGAATGCCACCAACATCAGTCTACTAACACCCAGGATGGAACCCACACCAGTCCACTGACACCCAGAATGTGAACCACACAAGTCCACCAACAACCAGGATGTGAGCCACACCAGTCCACTAACACCCAGGATGCCACCCACATCAATCCACTACCACCCAGGATGATACCCACACCAGGCCACTAACACCCAGGATGCCACCTACACTAGTCTATTAACACCTAGAATGTCTCCTACATCAGTCAACCACCAACCAGGATGTGAGCCACACC